CCAAATAGTGCTAAAATTAGTACAATTGTACCAACTTTTGCATCCCTGCGTCTGATTATGCCAATTTCCGGGAATAGATGTTACAATGATTCATTCGCCATCGATATTCTCCGTCGACACATATCGGCTCGTATACCTTTCGGAGAATCTTTCTCTCAAACACTCCAAGAGCTGCCCTGGAGGTTACTCTGTAGTGCGTTGCGAAAGGAAGTGCGATGTGAAACCTAAATGCGTTAAGAGTACAATTTGGTACTCTGTATCACTAACGCAAACGCATTCACAAAATAAATCGAAAATAAGGCAACACCGGCACCAAAAAGTAAACAATAACGAAGAATGACAAAAGGAAACGTCAAAAATTTTAAATAAAAACATATTTTTGAACGGTACGAGTGTTTTTTTTATAAATAATTATAGATTCGGTGGCGTAATGGTTAGAAGAAATGAAAATGATTAACGAATTCAAAAAACAATTTTAAGAGATCGGCGAAATATACTCTTTATGAGACAATCGTTTTCAAATATTTAATTTTTTATAGATTTAGGCAAAATTTTTGTCGTTCCAAATAGATCCACAACAATTCAAACTCTAATAAAAGTTCCCGGACAATAAAATAAAAGTTGCTTCGACAAACAGTTGAACTCTGCACCTGTCCCTTTGCGAAATCGGTGTGTTGCACCATAAAATCTAATAAAATTTGGAACTGACGTTACTGAGTCTGTAACTTTTTGGCTTTTCCATAAAATAATTAACAGTTTAGATATAAATAAAACCTTTAATTTTGCTTACTTACATGTTTGACATGCGCTCTCGTATTACAGAGTGCGGTGCTGCAACATTTGCGTAAAGTAGATGCGAAAGGAGATACAAAAACGAATTAGAGAGTACCAATTACGCGATGCGATACAATTTTTCTTACGCATCGCAATACAGAGTAACCCCCTTATCTGCATGTGGAAGTAGCAATGCTTCAGATCCATACAGCAGTACGGGTAGTATCAGCGTCTTGTAGAGTGTGATTTTGGTCTGGCGAGAGGTGGCCTTGTTTCTGAATTGCTTATTTAGAAGATAGTAGCATCTGTTGGCTAACACTATCTTTCTCCGTACCTCAAAATTTATGTAATTTGTTTTGTTTATTATTGTTTTAAATTAATAACTTTAAAAAGTATGTATGTATATAGAACATTGAAAATTGACACATATGTTGCTCATGTATATAGGTATTATCCTGACGAATATAATTTATATAGATCCACGTTTTGATAAAGCCCCCATCCTTTTGATGATCATTCACTTAAAATTGCAATGAACTGAAAAAAGACAAATAAAGGCAGATACAAATTTAGGAGTAGCTAATTCGGAGTGTGTATTCTAAAATGAAAATAGCTCAAATGGTGGGTAAGGCAGAGCATATGAGTTGGAGCTTATACAAAATTATATTAAAGGGAAAAATTACATATACAGAGTTTTTTTTTAGACATTTGGGTATGTTCTGGAATACACCGTGTGTTTTTACACCTCACACATGCACTTCACCTCAAAAGTTACCTGCTGTTCTGCTTCTCACGTGATTTGAAATTTTAAAACTTCTGCACAACAAAAGTCAACATGGTGCTTTGCAGAAGTAGTGTTGCAATACACTGCGTAGCATAACTATAGACGCACCTTTAATCCAATTGGTATGTTAGTTGACAAATAAAATGGACCCATTAAGTTATTGTTCACAATAAAATGATCAAAAACACATATTATTCAACAAAAATAAATTATTTAATCTTTATGGTTTCGCCTAATTCAGAACTTTCAAACTTATAGCTATAGACCCACTTTTGCGAAATTATATAAATTTATGATTAAAAACATAAATAAAATAACTTTAATCAATAATGGGTATGGCCTTCCTTATTATAAATAAGTTCAAAAATTTCTTCCATCACACTGTCGATCAAAATGTTTCGCAAATCTTCATCGATTGATCGCCATTCATCGATAATCACTTCTTGGAGGTAAAATACAGTTTGGTATTGGTGGTTTTCTGCATAGGCACGACGAGTCAAGATTCCACATATGTTCTCGATCAGATTCTGGCCGAAAATTTTAATATTTTTTGATTTTAATCATACTTGAGTATTGCTACTTTTATGAACTGACGCGTTGTCCTGCTGAAAAATGTGTCCTTCATTGTTGCTGCTTTCCCAAAATGGCAATAATTTGTTTCCAAGACTTGAACGTACTCCGACAACTAAGAAATATCAAATCAAGCATTTAGTGGCTATAAAACAAATTATTCGAAGATGTTGAAGCGATAGATATATAAATTTGATAGATTTTCATTCATGTTTTTATACCCTTCACCACACTGTGGTAAAGGGTATTATGTCTTTGTACATATGTTTGTAACAGGTAAAAGGGTCTATCTCGATTGACCCATGATTCCTTTTGAGAATATGCATAGAATCACAAAGTACAGGTCGCATTTATGATCCGATTTGAATGAAATTTGACACATATCACTTATTTGGCCCTAGGACGAACCCTATTGAAGTTGGAGAAAATCGGTTCAGTCCGATTTTATGTAAATGGAGCACCTTGCTGCCCCCATTTGTCCGATTGAGACAAAATTTTGCACAGAGTATTGAATTAGGCCCAGATTGATGTATGCGAAGTTTTTTTGAAATCGGTTTAGATCTAGATATAGCTTCCATATATAGTTTCGTCTGATTTTAAGTAATTGGTGCACCAAACTCTCAATAGTTGTCCGATTGATACACAATTTTACACAGAGTATTTAATTAGGCCCAGATTGATGAATGTCAAGTTTTGTTGGAATCGGTTCAGATTTAGATATGGCTCCCATATATAGTTTCGTCCGATTTTATATAAATGGAGCACCAAAGAGTCAAAGGCACAACATTTTGCACAGCGTAAAAAGTCCAAATTTATGTTTGCGAAGTTTTGTTGAAATCTGTTCAGATTTAGATATAGCTCCCATATATTGTTTCCTCCGATTTTATGTAAATGGTGCACCATATTATAGATGTTTGTCCGATTGAAACAAAATTTTGCACAGAGTACTGAATTAGGTTTATATTGATGCGTGTCAAGTTTTGAATTGGATTTTGGGTGGAGATAAATTTTAGATAGTCCATTTATATATAGATATTTTACGAATTGTGCTCGATGATTGTCATTAAATTTTTTATAAATTTCAGATTGGTACCCAAAGTGGCGAAGGTTAAAATATAGTCGGCCTCGTCCGATTTTTGAACTTTCCTTACTGGTTCAATTTTATCTGCTCTGCAATTTGCACAAACTTTGCTAGGATGTCTTGTATTGCAAATGGGATATATTGGACAACGCTTTGTTGTTAAGCCCCCCATATAACGGTACCCGCCAATATTCGGTATTTTGGTTTTTCAACAAATTTGGATATAATTTTGTATTTTGATTATTAATATTGACTCAAGCTTCAGGATAGCCTCATACAACTGTACCCCACAATATTCGGTATTATTGACATCCAATGCAAAATAAAATATTGTGACATTTTTTTATTATTATCAAAATAATATTTAAATTTCTCTTTATTTTAAATTGGAAAAAAGAAGAAATGTGTATAAGTAGAGTAGAGTAAATCCAAAGAATATCAAATAACATAAAATATGTTTTTTTTTAACTTAGAAATTAAAATTAGGCGAAAAAATGAAAGATTTTTACAAAATCCAGAAACAAAGATAACTTAAAGATAAATTTCACAATATATATTTATGTATGTATATGTATATATATTTACTACCGAAAGAAAATCAATTAAAAATTAAAACAGCTAATGAAAATTTAAGTGTATAAGCCAACAAAAAGAAAACAAAAAATATATATAACCACATGGAGATGATTTTAAATTGAAATTATTAAAACTTATGAAATTTTGTTTAATTTTTGTATTGCAGTTTTTCTTTTCTTTTGTATATTATACGAATATTAAAATTACATAACTTAATTAATTAAATAATAATAAAAAATAAATATGTATATATAAAAAGTAGAGGGGAGGAAAAATTAATATTGAGTTTTGTTTTCCATTGTTAGTGTTTTTGTTGTTGTTGAAATTGGCAACGCTGTTGTCCAAAGTGAATGAAAATGATTTGAATGCTTCTCTTATTGTGAATGAAGGATGCTATTGGGAATGAAACTAACGAGGGTGTAATAAATAAAGACACACAGCCACACTGTATGCTACCGAGTGGTGGTGAAATGGACAAGGATGCCTGGGGGAATGTATGTATGCATGGAGAATGTGTGAGAGCTGGCAAGTTGATAATGCAGCACGACGACAAGTAGTTGTGTTTTTTTTGTAATAAAGTGTAGAAATTTTTGTTATCATTATAAAACTTGAATAAACAATATATGTAATAAATATTTTTGTTGTTGTTATAATTAAATGATTGCTTTACACTAATAATTCTGATAAATATTTTTATGTTTGTTCTTGGGATAAAAATTAAAGATCATTTTTTGTTTTTGTTCTCATAGGAGTGCTGAGGACTGTCGGTGAAGGTTTTACGGATTGGCGCCCAACAAACCTTGTTCGACTTTCCACAGCTACTTCCTAATTACAAAAATTTGTTGGGATTTCCATTTTTTGTTTGTTCTGTCTGTCCACTAAAACTAGTTCAGGTTCTAGAGCCTAACAATTAAATATTCCATAAAAAATAAATAACTACGATTATTTAAATAGTAAAACTGGTATTTAAATAAATCAATAAAATATTAATATTAATAATAATCATAAAAAACAAATGCACAAAATAAACAAAATCACGTTCGCAATGCCTTGTGTGCGAAAACGACTCCGGAAATGAGACTTCGTTGTGAGGCACTCCGAACGCTCTCTTTTCTCTTTATTTATTTTTAGTTTTCATCACTGCAATGCCAATGTCTTCCATCCCGCCGAAACAGAGAGCGATAGGGAAGACCGAGCTTCGAGATCACATTGTACTCAATCGGCATTTCTAATCTCATTGAGCGCCCGATTTGTTTGTTGTCTCTCCAAAGCGGGCGTTGTACTCTCGTTGGCATCCAACATCTCCATTTTGAAAACTTTACTCTTGAGGCCACACAAAATCTCAGCTGTGGCTATACTCTTGACGGCGCTCAGATCCAATTGCAAGTGATTGTTGTTGTTGTCCTCCTCACTCTCATCGGTGTGATGATGCGAATGTTGTTCCTGCTGCTGCTGATGATGGTGGTGGTGTTGTGGTGATTCAGCTTGTGGAGTGGGTGTGGCGGCCAGTGGTGGTGTTACCGTTGTTTGTGGTGGTGATGTCTGTTTCTGGCTTCTATCGGCTCCGGTATGACGTTGATAATCCAATTTCTTGCTGTGCTCCACATTACGATTGATGGCATTGATAAGGGCTAGATTCTTCAGATTGCTATTGTTGTTGTCGTCCAAGTCCACAATTTCCTGTTTCGTTGTGTTATTGTTGTTAATGTCGTCTTCGTCGGGTATGTGTGTTGTTGGCACGTCATCATGTGTATTGATGCCCACATCTGATTCTGAAGTTAGATCAACGTCCATGTGTTCCGTTTCCACTACACTGTCACTGGATTCACTGGTTCTCTTGGTCAGGTTCTCGCTGCTCTTGTGATATTGTTCGTGAGAGTTATTTTGGACTAAGTTCAAGGCTTCCTCTTCGTCGTCATGGTGATTCGTGCTGTGATTGTTGTTGTTGGCATTCTCGTTATGTGTCTGTTCCATTTCCATTTGTTTCTGTTGCTGTTCATGTTCCTGTTGTTGCTGCTGCTGTTGTTGATTGGCCTTCAAGTGATTTTCCATTAGACGTATTTTGAAATTATTATGCGACTGTGGTAACGCAACCGGTCCTGCGTGGCTCTCTTGTATGGTCACCTCGGGATTGTTGTTGGCATCATGCTGCTGTTCCATTCCATAACGTTCGTATTCCTTGTGTCGCTTCTCGTTCAACTCGTCATTGTAGTGCATCAGGATTTTACGCTTTGCCAAATATTTGTGCTGTTTGCGGGCCGAGTCCATCAGGTGTTTCTTGCTGGCTGCCTGCAAAATATTAAAATTGTCCTGTTGTCCAGCAGTCTCCCCAATGTTATTACTCTGTGTGGGGACATGATTGTAGTTGGTGGTAAGGGTATTATTGTTGTTACGACTGATATTCTTCATGAAAGTTTCAGTCAGGGATGCCTTCGACTTGATGTGATCACGGAAGCTGGGGAACGATGCCGGCGATGGTATGGGTGAATTGCGTCCATTGTTGAGGCTGCTGGCAAGACCGTTCAATGCGTGTGGAGAGTCCAAGAGAGTTTTGCGGGGTTCAAAGCCCTGGCCAGTAATGTTTACACTGTGTGTGCCGCGTTCAAAGTGGCATTCCGTGGAATCGGTATTGCTTGTCGAGCTGCTGTCCTTGTTGTCATCGTCCATGTTTTTCTGCATTGGAGAAAAGAGAAGGGGGTAGGAGATTATAATCATGGACAACTGGAGGATAATTTCGAGAAAAATTGAAATTTTATTTATTAAAATTGGCGCCCAATAATATATCTTTCAGGAAAACAATTTTTTTTTTTTTGACAAAGTGTCATACAATGGCGCCCAATCGGGCCTAAGTTTTTTAAGAAAACCACTATTCCAATGTGGCGCCCAAAAATACGCAAAATTGTTTTTAGAAGCAGAACTGTTACAAAATAAAACTACTTTAAGTGACGCCCAATAGTAGACCTTGCGTGGCAAAATGGCGCCCAATCATATGAATATGCCCGAACCAAAATGCTGATATAAAAAACTGTTCTTTTTTAAATCCGTACGAGTTAAACGTCAACTTACTTCTGTGTGTAAACCTTTGATTTTCATAACTTCGGCCACCTTTAAAAATACCGGTAAATCTTCATATTTGACATTGACCTAAAAGAGAAAAAAAAAACAATTAAATCCCCGTTCAAAATTTCAAACCATTTATCACCTCCTCACCTGACCACTGTACATGAAATCCAACAGACCAGCCATGTGGCTAGCCTCAACGTCAGCCATCAACAGAATCGGATGACTTGAGGGATTTTCCAAAAAGATCTGTTGGAAATAGGGGCTACAAACGGACAACACCAATTTGTGGGCCTTGAAAATCTTGCCGCCCGCCGCAATGGTGACATCGACCATTTTCTCATCCTTTTGCAGTGAATGGAAACCACGACACATATTACCATGGAAGTTATTCCATGAGAGCAGGTACTGATCGATGGTATTGGGATCGGTAAATGGTTGTTGGGAATGTTTCTGCTGCTGTTGTTGCAATTGTTGTTGAGCGGCCTGATGTTGAGCGGATTGCAACTGTATCTGTTGAGCGGTGGTGGTTGTGGGTGTCGACGGTGATGGTGTGGGTGGTGACGACTGACGAGCAGCATGCACGGTTTGATGATGCAGTTGGGCATTGGGTGATGTCTGTGGGGTACTGTGTGGAGATGCAGAGTGATGCAATTGCAGCTCACGACGCCTTTGTTGTTCCTGTTGCAAGTGTTGTTGGGCAGCAGCCTGTTGCTGTTGGACTTGCTGTTGTTGTTGGGCAGCAGCCTGTTGTTGCTGCTGCTGTTGCTGTTGATGATGATGCAACATGTTTTGTTGTTGTTGCTGTAAGGCTGCATGCAAACTAGTGGGAGTTGGTGGTGGTGGAGGCAGCTGTCCAGACTCCTCCATCAATTGAACGTGATGCTGTTGAGCGGCTTGATGAGCAGCTGCAGCAGCGGCGGCGACAGCCTGTTGATGTTGTTGTATAAAACGTTGCTGCTGCACAGCTTGTTGTTGGGCAGCGGCCTGCTGTTGCTGCTGATGATGTTGACGTGCCTGTTGTTTCAACTTGGCCAAATTCTCTTGAGCCTCCTGCTCGCGTTGCCTAATGAATTCATCTTTAATTTTATATTGTTGCATACTCAGATCATCGCAGCTCTTGGACAATTTTATAGCTTCACTGTTGTTGAATTTGTTGTTGGCCAACATGGGTTTAACGTCGTACTTGTAATCACCCATTGCAGCAAATTTGGCAGCCCGTTCCTTTTGACGGCGCATCAGCTCTTCAATGTTCATATATGCTCCCGATGTGGCAGCAGCAATGGCCGAAGCTATGATGGGATCATCTTCAAAGACACTATCGTCGATGGTTTCCTTAAGGGTTTTTGTGGACGAGAATAGACGCAATGAGGGATCATTGACCTGATCGCTGAAATACACATCCATCAGGGTAAAGAAAGGCCATTCACGTCGTTTGGGTTCTTCGGACATTTTAATAGCCTAGCCATGAGATGATGAGGAAATAGAAAACAGTGAACGAAAAAAGAAGACAGAAAAATAAAATAAATTAATTTTTTTCAAGTTCTCAAAGCAAATAGGTGCTGTATTCGAATGACTACTGACCTTGTATTCCTGTAGGAGATTATTCCATTTCTTAATTATTTTTGATAGTGGCAATGGTACATTTAATTCACGTTCCACGACACTAAAGGGATTAGCGGCAGCATTCACATGAAATTATAGAAGAAGAAGAAAAAATAATGGATGTGGGTGGGTGTGTATGTGTGAAATGGAGTGGGGGTAAGTATTTCAGGATTAGTAGAAACATTTCAAGTTTTGTGTTCATTATGAGGATGTGTGTTGGTTATAGTATAACCTCACATTTGTGTGGTGTTCGTTAATTCCTTTTGTGAATGCTTTTGCTTTATTGTGAATGCCATGTTTTGTATTTCAATGTTGGCAACACATGCAATAGAACAAAAGTTTTGCACTAGATGGCGATGTTATGTTTTTTTTTATGTTAATGTTTGCTTTTGGCGATCGATTTATGTCAATTGATGGTGGAGTTTATTTTTTATTTTAATTATCTTTTATGCAATTTATTGTTAAATTAGATTGAAATTCATAATATTATTTTTTATTTATCCCCTGTTCCTCCAGAATAAAAATAATCGATAATCGTAACATTTTTTAAGACGATTTCCTGATCTATTTTTATTAAGGCTTCGGGAGTATTTTAAGTTTATGTGAAATATAAGTTTGTTGTTGTTGCTTTTAGAATGATTTTCTTTGGTTTGTTGTTGTTACTGTTATTCCTTTCTATACTTACGCCCATGCATATTTGGAGGCATTACGTTTGCCTGTAAATAATGGTGAAAGTTCAGCACGTAATCTGATTAACGATTTTACTTTTTCGGCTTCCCCTAAAAATATAAAAAATGAGAGAATAAAAAAAATTAGTAAAATATGGAATATAATTAATATAAATACTTAAATATAAATAGATATACATAATTGCAATTTGGGGGTATGTTTTTAAAAATAAAACAGCATATATCAGTGAAATAATCGAGGAATTTGTTGACCAAATGTTTAAATATTGCATCTTCAGTTTTAATAGATCGAAGATGTAGCAGAGCATCTTAGAGATTAATTTCGATGATAATTCGACTAGTGGGAAATCTGATTGCCTTCAAAGATACGGATGGAACTTTAACTAACTATTCTCGTAAATAAGTTACGCACTGGCAAATTGGCGCCCAATAGTAGGCCTTTCTTAAGAGCACTTTCTGTGACAAAGTTGCGCAATATTAATTATGAGGTAAAACAATTATTTACCCAATAATGGGTAATTAATAAAAACGTATTTAGGATAAAGTGGCGCCCAGTTATTAAGAATAGTCAAAATATAATAGGGATAATTATAGATAAATTCGACTGTGTTGAAAGTACCAGATGGGATTAAATTATTGACGAGGCAAAATTAGCCCATACGGCAACAATGCTGATACGCTGGAAGGTAAAATTCAAAGAAAATTTATGATTCCATGGCAAAATTTACCGGGTGATTTTAAAACTGGAGATTTATTATACAAATGGCACTTAATAGTGCAAATTGGTATTGAATTGGCGACTAATCGTGGGAAATGGCTAATTTAGGATGCCCAGAAAAATACCAACTATATTGATTTCCAATTTTATGATGCCCAGAAAAATATATAATTTGGGATGCCAAAACTACGACCGTTAGCGAAATGCGACCCAGTAGAATGTGACCCAGTGAACATAAAGGAACATTAAAGAATATCTTGAAGGGATATGTCGCCAATAAAAGACCATTTAGGAAGGTATAACTGAAAGCTATTGTGGGCACAAATTATGCTTTTGGGATACAAATTGTGGACATTAGACAAAAAATATAAAAAATTTTAAAAACCTCCGTTTCGACTTGTTGTGTGCTCACGTCCGTTTTTTATTTATTTTGAATAGATAAATAATTAAAAAATAAGATAACTTGTAATTAATTATTGGGCGCCATTTGTAAACATTGCTCTAATTTGACATATCATAGAATTTTTATTATGGTCTGGAACGAATAACTTTTCCCAGGAGGAGATATCTAGAAAAAACAAAGGTCTGGAAAAATACTGTGGCAGTCTACTGAGATTAATCCCCTAAAATAATCTTGCAATATTTTTCACTCAAAAATGTATTTATTTATTTATTGTATTTTGAGAAAATGTTACTTCTTTGATCAAGTGTTTAAATATGTTACAAAATTTAATAAAAAATAAGAGGCCATAAAATTGACAATTGGGCGCCATTTGCAGATATTGTTGTAATTTGATGTATCATCACCCAATTTTTTTTTTTAATTGAGATCTTTCACCCCCCTTTACTATGGTCATTTCCTAAAGACTGAAGTGATGAACAAAGAATGGTCGTAATATGTCTATGACCATTCATAATTGCAGACTCGACAATTGTATTGATGCCTCTAAAAATACATAAAAAGCTTTTGAATATATGTAGGTAATACATAAAGCCGTCTATTCTTAAATTTCTAAAACGTATGATGGATGAAGTGAATTAATCATACGCCCTTAAGAAAATAATTAATATTAATTATACGCCACAAATACATAAAAATAAATTAAAAAATAAATAAATTAAATGTATATATTTAATTAAATATTTAAGACTCTAAGTATTAATTATGATTTCGAATAAAAATTTGAAATCAAAAAATTTGATTACATAAACCATAATGTGATTATTATTTTTTGTTGCTGCTGTTGTAACATTTTTTTTAATGATTGAAATTAAGTATTTCATCTTTTTCAATAACGGTTATTTTTCTTCATCGTTGGTAAACATAAAAAATTCAATTTCATATTTTTTTGTTTCTTTTTTTTATTTATCTGACAGAGAGTTCAAGATCCGGTATTGCAAAAAGATTGACGATTTCTTGTTATTATTATTGGTGTGTACAATAGTAAAAATATGTTATTTTGATGAGTGTTTTGGTTATAAATGTCTATGTGAAGAAAGAAGAAAGAAAACATTCACCCATCATTGTCTCGAAAAAAGATGGATGGATAGATGAGGTAAACAAAAAATCTCAACGTTGGCCCCAAGAAATGGCGATATGTTATCATTCAACTTTAGTGTGATGGTGATGATGAAGACGATGATACTGATAATCATGATCTACAACAATCTGCCAGTATTTCAAATTCAACGCCAGTAGTTTGGTTATTTTTTTCTTCTGTGTGTGTGTGAGACATCGTACCATCCAATCATGTTTTTGTTATTGTTGTTTTTGGGTGGTGATGGTTTTTTTACCACAACTTTTTTTTCGAAAGAAATGTTGAAGAAAGAAGCAAAACCAGAAAAAAATATTTCCGAGACACACACGCGCATAATAATCGCCTTTTCTTCTATACTACTGGCAGGCAGTGGCACGTCGTTCGCCCAGTGTGAAATATAGAAAAAGAAACCAATTCCAGTAACAAAAACTACAACAACAAGATGGCTGGCTGGCTGTCTGTCGGGTTGGTTGGCTAAACAGCAACGTCATGAGCGAAAGTGAAATCTTTTAAGTTTCCATGCTAGTGGTGTTGTTGTTGCTGCTGCTGTTGTTGTATATAGCCGTGTCGGGTTGCTAATGAATTCTTCACAATACCCAAGCTTTAGAGGAGTTATGTATCGGTACTAGTACAAGTATGGAACTGACTTAGCTAGCAAAGCTAGGCAAAATAACTAGATAGCTAGCTAGCTTGTTGGATCAATGGATGGGGATGTACATAACGGGCTTCTGCCTTTTGGTTATATATACAGTAATTTATACGAGTGTGAGTGTGTGTGTTAGTATAGAAATGTCGATATATAATGATCACATATAGTATGCATTCAGATTTTTCTTTCAGTCTTTCGAGGCATTTTGTTTTTGTATCTTTCATTTTTTCGTTTTGTAAATGTGGCCAACAAAGCAATTTCTTGGTAAAAGTTTGTTGTCTGTTGTTGTTGTTTTTTTTTGTAATGGACAGACAGACACAAGATTTTGAATAAAAAACACATAGTCGAAACATAAAACTGAAATCATTCGTGTATAGCTGGTCTGTACATTGAAAACTTCTTTGGTCAGAGTCAGAGTTATGTTTCGCATGAAGTTTTTTTTCGCAAAGTCTGTCGACTTCTTTTCAGATGTTGTTTGTCAAAAAAATGTTTTCGTTGTTGTTGTTGTTGTTGTTGTTAAAGGCCGTTTTGGTCTTCATTTTGGTTTTGTAACTTAATGATCATTATGCTGATGTTGCTGTTGTTGCTGCTGTTGTCTTGTGTAAGCCAGCAATGGCAACAACATTCACTCTTCCATCGTCGCTGCGACTGCTACCATTTTTATCCATTATCATGGCTATGATTATTGTTGCAATTTGTTTCGTTGGTTTTGATTTCGCGATAGTTTATGAATTTTAGAGTTCATTGTAACTCAAGAGTCATTGTGAGGATGCAGTTCAAAGAAATTCATGGCAGAAATAACTTTGAATGTTTGCAACAACAAAAAAGCGGTTTTCTGTATTTAATTACAGTTTTTCTTTTTTTTTAAATAGTTTTCAGATTTTCTTGTGGTGATAAATTGGTTCATGAACTCATAGTCTGAACTGGATGTTTTTTTTTTTTTCATAGAGGAGAGATTTAGAAATAGTAGGCCTGGGAGAATATTGTGACAGGTGTCGGAGTTTCAGCTCCTAAAATATTCTTCCAATTTTCAATAAAGAAAATATTTCTTCTGTTAAATGGCGCCCAATCAGTAGATAATATTTTATTCCTTTGATTTAGTTTATGCAAGTACCAGTTTATTGGAAATTCTAGTACAAATTGGGCGCCATTTCCAAAAACGTTGAGCGCTTTTTATCCGAAAATAAAACTAATAGTTTCTCAATAATTCAGGTTTCACCCATTAAAAAATAATAGAAAAGATTTGCTTTTTCCGCTTAGAAGAGACTTAATTTCGAAACAGGTGACAAATCTCACCAAAATACGTCATGTTTTCAAGTTTTAGTTCCTTCCAAAGCTGGAAATGATGTATTTTGGCGCCCAATTGCAGAATTTTGAGACACTATTAAAATAACTGAGAAACCCCCAATGGCGCCCAACAGATGTTTCTTAAATCATCACGTCATGTAATTCCAACTCTCTAGTGAAGATCTGAATGACTTTTTACATGTGACGCAAGGAGAATAATTCCCAATATAATATATATATGTCTGAGATGAATAATTATTTAATTAATTTATGTACTTAAATAAATGATATGGAAATTAATGGCGCCCAACATACGTTTCATAAACCAGCTCTTCATTTAGTTACTCATTTAGTAACTCCGGAGTGAAGATGTGATTAAATTTGATAGATACTCATTGAAACAAAGGAGAATCATTTCCAAAACTTTATATATTCAGGGTATATATAAATGACGGCTAACACGGGACTGATGTGAAGAATTTATTGTCTATCATATCGTAAGTGAAGTTAACTGTTCGCTAATCAGAAGTAAAACTTCAAATCTGACTACAATTTTCAAATTGTGCGCCATTACGCACAATACCTTCTAAGACGGATGAGGTCTTGGAAGATATGTTTTCAGATAGCGATACAAAACGTTGGACAAACGATTTCCAAAAAGATGGCGCCCAACCTGTTTAAACAAATTATAGGCAGTAAAATAGAAGAGATTTGGTTTTATGATAATCTAACAAAATTCTTATTTAAAATGACACACGAAATTGGCGCTCAACATCTGTTATATAATACAGTTGATAAATTCTAAAAACTTCTTGACAAAATTGTTATTATAAAGGAGGCAAAGGATACATTATACCATTTGAAGAGCATATAGGTGATAGGAAAAATATTTTTCCAA